AACTTTGCAGCTAATTTTTCTTGCTGATTGGGAAGTGACAATTGTTCTCCCTCTGATACAGTCAAGTCGTACTCACTGCCCTCAGATCCAGTAAGATGTGAACTACGAGCTAGAACTCTGCTCATATCAAAAGACTCTAAATTCAATCTGGTAGTGGAAGGCTTGCGTTTCACTTTAGATTCATCTATTAATTCAAAACACTCATACATGATATAATTGAAACTTTCAAAAATTCTTATTAAAGGTATAAAAATTAATTAACAATGTATTAATATTAAAATACAAGAAATAACAATAAGAATAGCTACGAGCCAAATCAAACAAAATTTAAACTAATGTGTATATTAATAGCGGTTGACTGAAAAGACTGATATAAGTAATACAGAAAATAATTAAAATTAAAACTTCGATGTTTAGGTCGGAAAATAATTAAAATTAGACCTTCAATGTTTATGTCCTAATAATATTGTATACAATCGACAGAATATATATTTATGTTGATAGATATATATTTTGATTTTGTTTTATTTTTATGTTTAATGTCAATTGTATTATATTTACATTATATTTAAATTTTATTTGATTTGGCTTGTAGCTATTCTTATTGTTATTTCTTTTATTTAAATTTGTTGAGCCATTCTTTATTATGTATTAATATTACCTGCAGAAACTTCCTTCTTAATTGGTTGTGGGTTCCAAGGAGGAACTTGAGCAAGTATAGCTTGTACAGCATGGGCAGCCGATATTCGAGTATCCCATTGTGAAGATTTTAATAAGGTAGAGACTCTTGCTAATAAGTGATGTAGATCATGAGGATGTAATCTCTGTGCTTCTCCCAATTGTTGCGCAGCTGCTCTCTTGGTAACTGCGTTTGTTCCAGTCTCCAACAATATGAATAATCTGTCCAATCTAAAAATTAAAATACATCCAATATAATATAAATTACTAATAAAAAATAAATTTTTTAAAATATTTACTTGTTTATATATAATGTATCTCTCATAATATATAACTAATACGGTTACATTTATATATTACTATTATATATTTTCAAAGTATATTGTATAATACTTTATGTATATACCTTGACGTCATGATGATAAAGTATATTGCTCAATAAACGACTCTTGAATATCTGAAATCAAACAATCACAAACGATTAAAGCTTATTTACCTATAAAAATATCTAATAAAATTTTTTACAATATTCCTACATATATATGTATAGAATTGATTCGAGTATAAATTGACGGTGCTATCACTAGCTTTTAGAAATACTCGAAAGAGAACTGTTGAGAGATTCTCTAATTCTTATATAGACAAAATTGTGTATTTAATTGTACGATACTCTGGGCAAACTTCCTTCTGGCATTCTGAAGATTATCTTCGAGCAGAAGAGTAAAGTTGCGGTAATAAGATAAATGATAATCAATGGTTACAAATAGCAGGGACGTTTGGACACGATTAGTCTGGAGAAAAGAAAAACGGAGAATAAAGCAGCGATGACGAGACGAAGAGAAATGAGGATGCGCTGCTAAATGCTTGCTGGACGTCTTGGTGGTAACGGTGGTGATGATGATGACAGTGATGACAGTGGTGACGGCGATGGTACGTCAGCGATATTCCGAGCGATCGTATCTTGCGAATAACTCGCGAATGTGGAAGGATCGTGGATAAAATCATGGCGCGTCGGTCCGAGTGCAATATGGATATAACGAAGTGATCGGTCGTCAAGGAACGACCAATAGACCGAGGAACCAATGTCAATGGATCGCATACCTGCTTTCTCAAAAATTGTTTTGGCAGTCTTGTTTCGGCTTCAACCGATCCGCGTTGCCACTTCCGCATTGCCGGACATACGAAAATCACATCATGCCGCGCGTAATGCGAAACTACGCTTACGCTTGTCAAATTTCTTGGAGAGAAACTCATGTTACAAGCATCAAATTTATACTGACAGCCATATTGCTGGGGAACCTGAGTTTTGTCCCCTGGTTTCACTCCGATTGGTCGGCAGTGCGCATGTCACCTACCGATCAGCTAATCGCCATCCTCTCCGTTCAATAATCGTTCGAATACGCGTCAGTACGCGTCAGTATATGTGTCTTCGATGCGCGAGTAGGACGAAAATTGTTTGCTCTTTGCGCAGTTTGCCACAGTTTATGCATTATTGGGTCAACGGTTTAGGGTATATCCACACAAACTTGCATAGCCGCGTAAACATATGCATAAAGAAAATTATCCAATTGCAGTTCTCTTTTAAAGTCGTACATAAAATGTGATTGGATAATATTCTTTATGCATACGTTTATGCGGCTATGCAAGTTTGTGTGAATATACCTTGACAATGATCGCTGATGTTGTAGATGATGAACTTGATATTGGCGTTATTTGCTTTAATCCAGACATCATTTTTTTGAAACTTTTATAAAAAGATTTCACTTATAATTTAATATTTAATTTTTTTAACTACACTATTAAAAATTTCATGAAATTTAATATAATTTTAAGTTATACAATTTGAATTTAATTTCATAACATTACATACGTTAAAGGACCCCGCCAGTTTTCTTATGGGAAAGTACTTTCGGTCAAAATGGCTGAAAATTTAGTATGGTAGCTTATGGTATCCTGATCAAAAGTCTCAATGAGCACGTGGTTCTAAAATCTACAGGTTCCGAGATATTGGAGTTCAAAGGTCGATATAATGAAGTTATAACTATTTTTAAATAAATATTAGGTACTTTTTGTCAGTTATGTGTAGAGTGATGAAAATAAGAATCGATCCAGCAAATAAAACAGAATCCTCTCTAAACCCATAAACCATACATCCATAAACCCTAAACCAATAAACCTTAAATCTATAAAGCCATACATAATTATGTAAAACACAATTCTCCATTTTCGCTGTCAATACGCTGCCAGATTTTTATTTATCGGTTGGATCGGTTTCTACTTCGATCTGTCTTTTTCAAGGCTTTGATTTATACTAAAAGTAAATAAACATTTTTCAAAAAATTCTTATTATTTTTAATATATCTTTTCTATTTTTTGTTCAAGATAGTTGATCTGTTTCTGACAAATATTTCACAAACTATTTTTTTGAAAAATGACTAATATTATATAAAACGTATAATACATATTTTATATTACACACTATTTATGTATATAAAAAAATATTTAATAATTAAAGTATTAAAGTATATACATAAGCCCTTGATAGATTATTAGCTAACATCTCTATTAGCTAACATTCGTAATAATTCTTTCTAAAAGAATCCCATACTAATTATAAGATGGAAAAAAAGAGTATCTTTTGGATCCGAAAAAGAACTCACATTTGGTGACAAAAGTGAATTATTTTGGTATCCTTAGGAATACTTTTAGAACAGAAGTGGGATAGAAAAAGAATTCATTTTGTAAGATCGGGAATGAAAAAAGAATTCTTTTTGGATTCTCTATGCTATTTGGATTTATTATTAATAATGTACTAAATATAAAAAATATTTTTAAATATTGTGCGCTTATTTTTCATTAGATATAAACGTATGAATTGCAGATGTCTAAAAATCTATTGAAAGAATAAGGCCCATTAAAAAAACAACATGTAATATTTTAGTAATAGAACCATTTTATTTAAAAAATGCAAAAAAGAAAGAATTCTAGCATTATCGCGAGTTCGGGTTGACCTTAAAAGACAGTCGCGATGTTGACGCAATAGTAATTATAAACTACTATGTTTTATCACTTCATTTTTTTTTATTAGTCAGCTTGTATACCTTGAACATGCCATACTGTTGCATATCTATGACGCGTTTGAAGATGTGTGTGTGTGTGTGTGTGTGTGTATTATACATGTTGCGCGTAAGACGAAAACACGAACATAACATGTTTTATTCTTTCAACAAAAAATATAAAAACAAATATATATATGTATATCTAATTTCAATAGATAATCAGAATAAATGTGTTTAAAAATAATTATGCATATCGGTTTTTTTTTCGAAACGATGAAACAGTTCCAGGATCTAACAATCTAAGCTGATTACTCACTGACTTAATCAAGATTTATTGTTAATATTATTTATTTACGATGTTATATTGTCTAACCTTGGATGATTTCGTTAATTTGTTCCTATGTTCTTTCCAACATTTAATTATTTCGCTGATGACGCAAAAAGCCGAAACGTTCGAAAAAATTGTCATGTAAGTACATTTTGATGAATAAATTGTAAAAAGTCATTATCAATTGGCGCATTGTAAACTGCACTCTCATTAGCTCGTTTCTTTGTTTAACTATTAGTTAGTCACTGAGAGCCCATTGTATATTTATCATTTGTTTTGTTATTTATTTTTATAAATTTATTAAAAATTTTTATTGTGATCCTAAAATAGCCGAAGAAGACCAAGTTGAAATGTTCCATACTTTAGATTGTATTAAATTTCAATTTATCTTCTATGGATGAATTTGATATCTTAATAAATTAAAGTGTATAAATTTATATGTTGCTCATTCTGTCTTCAATTTTATCATTTTTTTTTGTTTTTACTATTATATTACTTCAGATCCGTTAACAATTTGTTTATCACTTGTAGTTCACAAAAATCACTCTCTATTCTATATTGTCAATTATATTTTATTACACAAGTTCATCTAAATATGTAAGATTATATATATATATATATATATATGCCTACACACAATTATATATAAATTATCTATATTTTATTTAAAACAGAATTATTTCTCTAATTTTTATAGTAGAGTATACTACAGTCTTCCCTAAAAATGTTTAGAACAGTTATTCGTTTGTAAACTGATTCATTGTATGTTATTGTTGTTTATAATTTATAAATTTTTCAATATCATAGTTTTTAAGATATAAGATTAGCACAAATAATTTTTAACTGCTTTAATTAACATTTTATATTAGGAATTAATATAGCAAATACAAATTATGTATTTTTATACATACTATGAATATTTATTCAAATGCATTCTAAACAATTGAATACCTTTCATGAACAATTGAAGGATAATCGCTTTTATTCCTATCATCTATGGAAGTGTCTAAATACAGACACTATCATTAATCAAGCACAATTAGTGATATTTGTAAAGCTTATGGTGACCTAAAATGAAAAAAAAAAACAAAACATTAAATTTACAGTTGCATTAAAAATAGAATTAATTATTTGAGTAATACTTACGTAGCTTTTGATAATTCATTACATAAAACACGAACATAGAAGCAACTACAACTTGAAAGAAGGGAGCTATGCCAGTTCGTTTAGGCTGTACGTACTTATGTTGCCAACGCCAAAACGCTACAAAATGAACCGAGTAACATTATGACAAGGTATTTTTACATAAGTTAGGCACTGTTTTCTGAATGTCATATCAAAGTTATGTAATTTTTGGCTAATAAAATGGTTTCTTTCTCGTGTGCAAGTACCTCGTGAAAACACTCCTATAAGTGCCTGTGGACTTTTTTGCCGTCTTGCAAACCAGCCAGGAACTTCTTTGAGCTTCAAATCCAAGTAAGGAGTGTCAGCTGCATAAAGAAAGGGGTTATTATTACATAATATTATTAATTGTGCCAAGCAAAAGAAGTACTTATGTGATGCTATAAACGAACTAACGTTTTCCATAATAGCGTGCAGGATCATATGGCCCATGTTTCACAGGATCGTATTCAGCAGGATAACCACCAAATTGCAGTTTATTCTCCATGGAGAAAAAAATATCAGTTTTTATAAATAAATTCCACGAAATTATCGAACAAGATACGTGTATGAACGTCTCGTGCCAGTCATAGACAAAGAAGTATGTAGACTGGGGACTTGTAGGGCCGGTCTCACCAACTCTGATTAACCTAATCGGTCGATTGTTACATTGGAACTGACCAATCACGGTTGACACTTAATCGACCGATTAGGTTAATCGGAGTTGATGAGAGTTGGTGGAGTTGATTGGAGTTGCCGGTATTCATATACGGGAGGATCCCGTTTGCCTACAGTTCTGATTGTACACACCACTCAACTGGTGCCTAGTAATTTTTCACTGTTTTGCCAATGAGATTATTTTATTTTTAAATTGGCCAATCAGCGATACATGTGTGCAATATGCGATGTGTGCAATCGGAGCCCTCCCTTCATATACTACGTTTACACGGCACGCTTTACGCCGAAATTATGACATCGATGTTATGTAACTGCCCAATCACAGTCATTCTATTCTTCAGAGGAATAGCTATGATTGGCCAGTTTCATAACATCGATGTTATAACTTCGATGTAAAGCGTGCCGTGTAACAGAGGTCATAGTCGAATGCTCGAATCTTGTATTCAAGACCGTCTAATGTCTAGTTCAAACTGGATGCAGCAAGAGCATCGACATCTAGAATGGACCGCTGATGGCAATGG